AAATTTTTACGCACGCTTCCGTTTCCGGTTGGCACTTATTCCCACTTCAGCCATCCCCTACACACAAAAAATTGTATGGTAAATGGTAAAATTAACCAATGCAGGTAGTTTAGTAACTATAAAAAGTGTACTTTACCATTTAAAGTTATTTTACAAGCATTTTGTTGTTGTTGTTTACTATTTAAAAGTTAAGGCACTATTAACATAGTTACATATAGTTGTAGTAAATAGTAAATAGTTAATTAACTATCAAAAAAAATTATCCTAACGTTAAGTTCATGTTATGTGTTTGTTTTGTTATTGCAATACTAAATAGTTAATTAACTGTCAAAAATAGTTATCCTAAGGTAAAATCCTCAACACAAAAGGATGCATTAAAAACTCTACCAATTTCCATGTGTTAATAATTCCCAACTGGTTCTAGCTTTTCGTAAACTATTATATTGGTAAATATTACAAAGCCATATTTTTGTGTATAGAACGTTGGCCATGAACTATACCTTCGATTTTTACTACTTGACACATTTTCGTGGGTACTTTGGTTTACAACCTCTTTATCTCGGCATCGAACCGTGCAAAATCGTAAACCTTGTTTTGGTTTCTTTCCTCCATTCTGTTTTACCAAGGCTATAAATTTGGTTTTTGTCAAAAAAAAGGAGGATAAAATGCAACAACATTTAGTGGGGCAAAAGTTTTTCTACTGTTGTGCATGTTCGCCCACAAAATGGCCTTTAATTAGTTGCAATTTTCGCCTCGCATGCTAATTGAAAAACTTTTTATTCTTCAGTGATGAAGTATTTAACAGTCGCTGTGGAAAAGTGTGTCAGACAATCCTTTCCCATAGAGGTAAGGCCACATACCTCTGTGTTGACTCCATTTTAATTGAGTTTTATTACGTATACGCACTGGGGCACACACACAGTTTGCCTCGGGTTTCCGTTGCCAATTAACAAGCACCCAGGAAAACCAATTCCAGGCACCTCGGATGCCATCAATAAACACTGAAGTTTATCGTTGGCTATATGTATCTGCAGCTCCTGGGCGAATCAATCGCATGGAATGCACTTGCAAATGGCAGAGATTCGAATTGCCGAGGAGTTGGAACAAAAAAACTGCTTGCACCATTGCAAAAGAATCCCACACACAGTTCAAAGGGGGGATTATTCTGCACTATATCACACGGTATGTGCTCTGCCAACGAAGGTATTTTGTAGGTAGCCATAATGGCTCTTTTGGGGATTTAACTGACTCAAAATGGAATTTAAATAAATTTAGTGCGACTTTTTAAACTACTTTATTGGGGGGTAAGTACCAAAAAATGTAATCAATTGAGCTTTTTATTTTTAAATTTTATTAAATTGAATTTTATGTAAAGCGAGGATTTTATTGTTTGCTAAAGACATAAACTATCACGATAAAAGCTTTCCTATTAAACTTTTTATTCCTTTAATTTGATTTTAAATGTATAAATATTATTTATAATGTTTTACTGTTTTATGATGGTTAAATATATATATTTATATATATTTGTTTTCAAGGTAAAAATATTTTATTTTAAAAATATATTACAAATTATAAAAATGTTTTCTGGTTTTTAAAATTGAAAATAAACAATAAAATTATTAAACGAACTAAAACTCTAAAGGTCTTATAAGTAGTTTGAGCTATTTAGTATATACACTTATTAAATGTTGTAAAGGATCTAGGTTACATTGACTTTTTAAATTAAATCCTGTTAAAAATCGTTCTTTTAATGAGACTTAGCATTCATAAAGCCTTTAAAAGTATCTTTACTTAATAAAGCAAATTATAAATATTATTTAAAAATATTTTTTTTATATTTTACCCCAATTTGCAGTACAGAAGTAACCCTTAAAGTGACCTAAACAATGGCCAGGCCGATCATCTCTGGCATGCTAAGCACATGAAATCAATTTGGCAGGCAAACGATGCCAAAGTACGTAATTTTTTCCAGCAATCACTTGCACTTGACTGCAATCGCCATTCGAGCAGCTTCAGGTGGGTCGAAGGTCGAAGGCCAGAGAAAGAAATATTCGAGAAAAAGGCAGAGATTTCCTGCAATTTCACCCTCTTTGCCACTATGCGATTCACAGGTCAATGAGCTGGATGAGCTGGTGAGATGGTCCAAAAGGCGGGCCAGAGGAACTCGTAGAGCAATGGCAGCAATTTGTGGGTATTTCTCAGGATGCACGTGCCACACGAATCCTCTAAAGAATGCAGCATCATCACCAGCCACAGCAATCAGCTTCTGAGAGGGTGTGACAAATACAAAATATCATGGCATACTTCTAGGTGCCAGGCGAAAATATTTACTCCGCATCGCGTATACGCCACGATGGCCCCCAGGAACGTGACTCAATGTGCGCTTAGAACAATACAAGATATTCAAGTGCCTTTGGCAAGAACAAAGCCACACACAAATCATGCAGCTGATTAACATGCGAAATCTGCGAGGCGCTCTAAAATGCCAACGAATGCCAAAGACAAAAGTTGGCTTGTGAGCAAGGAAAACTTTGATGAGATTTAATACTGTCTAAACAAAGAAAGATAAAACAAACAACTCGCTTATATAAACAATCAAACATAGAGAAGAAATACCCCTTTTTATCATACCAAAATATATTTGATATTCATTTGTATAATAAATAATATAACGAAAAGTTCAGTTTGAATTAAATTTATTTGATTTCCTTGAAATGTGCTTGGCAATAAATAAAATAGAAATGAAAGATACAGAATTTTTCAATTAAATGTTGAAATACCAGCAGCCATTAAGCAATAAAAATTAATTCAATTAAAATTCATAAAATTTTCCAGATTTTCTTAATTACAAGCCCGCATTTAAAGCTCGACTGTTATTTTAATAGAAATGCCAGCCATAAAGTTATGGCTATTACATTGCAGAGATATTTGCGCAATGGCTTGGAAAGAAAAACAAAATGCCAGAGCCCCGCAGACAATGACAACTTTATCCCCTGGTCCGGATTTGTTTTTCAACAGCTCCAGCCAACCCTGCGTATGCGCAATTTGGCGCGTAATGACATTTATGTGAGCTTACTTTTACGATGCATATTTTGGAGTGCCCTTTGAAGTGTGCAACTTTTGCCAAAAACAATTACCAAAGAATACTTGAAGCTCTTCAGATATCGTAGAATATGTGATTGAAAATTGAAAAAACAATTTATTACAAGTTGAGTACTTTACAAAGTTCTTTAAAAAAAGGTTTAATGAATTTAATGAGTATTAATATAATATTAAATTAAATTAATATAATATTAAACCAAGTTTGAAAACTTCTAAAATTAATATGAGCCAAGGTCAAGCTTATAAGTATTTTAAGCTAGACCAAAAGTTTTTCTTTCAATTCCAAAAATTTTAATAGTTACAAAAATAAATATAAATATCAATATAGGTCAAACTTATTTCTGTTTAACATTTATAGGTTTTTCTTTTCTTTTCAAAAATTGCCTGCCAATACTGTCAGCAAATCAAACAATTAAAGAAAATACGGAACCAAGAAAAAGACAGTAAAAAATGATTTGGACAATATTTTTGGCGATGTCGCTCAGTGAATTCGAAATCGATGTTTTTTATGTTGGCGCCAAGCTGTCCGCGAAAATAAGAGGAAGCCAACGACGGCTGAGCAGACATAGACAAGGCTGCCAATGAGCCAGGGGAGGGGGGCGTGGCCGGACCCGGGGGCGGTGGGCGGAAGGGGCGGGGCGGATGCTGTTGCTGTGGCGGCAACAAGGCGCCACTCAGGCGGCAGAACGCACCCATAGACAAAGGCTGCAGAGCCATTTGAGCTTTTCAGCTGGCGACGACAGAACACAAATGCTAACGCATGTAGGTCGACCTAGAGGATGTCTTTTCATCTGTATCTGTATCTCCAACTGCGTATCTGTGTGAGCTTGCTTTCCCTTCTGTATGAATATGTGTGACCAAGACAAACAACAACTTTCTGCGCATTAAAGTCACTGGTCATAGCCAAAAAAAAGGCTATACCCTGAAAATATATTGTTGAGAACTATCATTTAAATTTAAAAACTTAACAAATTTTTTTAAATAATAAAAATTACTAAATTGATTATTAAAAATGAAATAAAACCATGAACTTCGTATTTAATTTATATATAATTTCCGCTGTAATATACATCCTATGAAGTTTCTATATTTTATGCGCTGTAATATTCATCCTATGAAGTTTCCTTTTAACTTATAAAAATGTTATAATAAATTAGCCAACTAAAGTTATTTTAGGGACTTTGAAGTTTCATTTAAATATGAAATTATTTCTTAAAACAAAAAAAATGTTATAAACATTTTTAGCTTGGTAAAAATTAACAGGTATGAATATATATTTTTCTTTCTTCGAAAATGGTTCGTAATATCAATTTAATTCTTGTTGTTTTCATTTTTTAATAAGAAAAAGTATTTAGTTTTATATATTTTTAAGCATCTGTGTGGCCTTATCGATTTCTCTCAGTGTGCGGTTCTGTGCTTGACTTAATGGGCCAACATGTCGTCAGGGTTTTCACGCTCACCCTCAACAACAAAACTAACAAAGTTGCCCTATTATTTTTGGCCTGCGTAGACAGTGACTTTGACTCTGGGCCACAAAACAATTTCTGCAGACATTTTGGCAGCCAGTAACAAAGCGACAGACAGGACGGAATTTGTGGGCGAGTTCTTGGTCAACTTAGGCGTTCGTCCTCCGCTTTCACACATGAAATTTTCGATTTTATATAATTGCCGACACATTCTTGATATCCTCCCTTGTAGGGCATAAATTTAGCACCCTCTTCTATTTTTTCAGCAAAGTGATTAAAGTTCCTAACATAAATAATTGAATAATTTTTACAGGGGAATGAATTTATGGATCCATAATTTATGATATGATATTTATGATCCATATTTTTATTTGCTAGGAAAATTCATATATCTCTTTAATATTATTTCCCATTAAAACTCCAACCATGTTAGTTAAATATTATGCTTATATTTTCATAAAAATTACAATTACGAATACAAAATACGAGACTAAACGCGCAATTGCCGCCAAGACAGATGGTATGTGTACATAGCTACATATGGCAAACATCAAAGAACTTAGTGCAAGATATGTAAGACTTAGTTTAACCAGTTAGGATAAGGTACATTTTGGATGTGGGATACAAGATACAGGATACACAATGAGGTGACCGGCTGTTGGGATATATGATTTAACGACTGAAGATGGTGGCCATCAGCAGACTGACCACAGATCCGATGAGACTGTAGCCCACCTGGCGGGCTCCCAGCAGGGACTGGGCTCCATTGCATCCCTCCTCGGGACAGGTGCAGATGATCTGCTTGTAGCCCTCGTTGTCGGCGGTGAAGCAGGCGTTCTGTATCTTCTCCGGAATGTATCCGCAGCTCCTCTCGATCCGGTGCTCGTTGTTCATGTCGAACTTGATCACCGTCTTGCGGCAGAAGGCCTCCTTGCCGTTGGGCGGGGTGCAATCCGTCAGATACTGATTGTCCCGCTGGGCACGAGGGGTGTTCACCACCAGTCCACCGCAGTCATCGTTGTCGTGCGAGTTGCACTGGTGACACCGGATGGCACTGGCTTTGGAAGGAAAAGCAAACAGGGCGGGAATACGTTAATTAATTGCACTCTAATTACTTCAGAAAGATATTAACCAATTACAGCTAACCATTTTCACAAATTATTTTAGCTAGCTATATTTTTTGTATTTCTTACTCTTTTTAAGACATAAAATATTCTTAAATTAGGAAAATTCAAGATCAGTTGTTCTTGATTTAAGAACATTTTGTCTTAATTTGAGAACGTTCGTTCTTGATTTATTTCTATGTTCGAACTATCTTAACTTAAAAAGACCATTTTCGTTATTTTAGAGAACTAAAATAAAAATGATATGAAAAAAATGTTATTCCATCTCAGTTTTTTTTAAAATTTTATGATTAACTTGTTTCCAAGTAAAAAAGTAAAGGAAAATTTATTCCAATTATAGGTTGTTAGATAAATCACCCTAAATCACCAAAACAATTTAAAGGTAAAGGTAGTAAACTTAATGTGCTCTAAGTGAATTAATAAACAAAGGCTGGGAGAACATTACACATTTTAAACGATGGGAAAGTAGTAAAATAAATTACAGATTAAATCTTTTGCTTTAAAAGTTTATCAGCTTAGCTCCAAAAATTACACTTAGATTTTTAAACCTTCTTACTTCAATTGAAAAAAACATTGCTAAATATATTAATTTAAAATTCGATTATAGAATTATTATATTTTTCTTTACTAAGAAAGAAATTCCAGAACTTTAATCTTACTTGCATCATACGCTTTAATTATTCCATTATAATTTTTTACCCCCTTGACGGTAATTGGATAACTCTAATGGCATTCAAATGCCTTGTGATTCGCCCTTTTCAAAGACCCCATCAAACTGACACTAAATTGTTTTATTAGCCTCCCACTGCCACCCCAAAAAAACTGTCGGCAGCTGAGGCCTTTTGACTGACAAACTGACTTCCATTCGACTGCAGTAACCTGAATAATTGCATGTCAACTGCTTGGGCCCAAAGAGGTAAAAAATAAATGCCGAAACATCCAGAGTTAGGCACGCGAACCCTCCAGAACTCGGCAAAAACTGAGCTTGAATTCACGAGGGTTTCAATTATAACGAAGTTCCTTAACCCTAACTAAAATATATAGTAAATTTATTAAATTATGGTATTTCAAATGTATTATTAGATTAATTTTAATAATTTCTTCTAAGTAATTACTTTAATTTCTAGCTTAAGTAATCATTTAGATAGTTAAGATTATGTTATATATCACATTAGACCTTTAAAACTTGATATAATAAATAAAAAACTAATATTAAAACAGTAAAGGTTTGAATTAAGTTATAATAAAAGGATAAACTACTTAAAATCTTTAAGCATAGGGCATAAAAAACTGATTAAATTCAATCTTAAACCTCTTCGCTTTAAGCAATTATCCTGCCCTCTGTTTTCTGTTCCATTACCATCTATCCATCTATTTTTCCTTAAGCCTATTTGACAGCCTCTGTCCAATTTGGTTAACATTTGACAGAACCCATAGCCCAAGGAAAGTAAGAGAAATGGAAGAGTTCAAGCCATCACTCAAAGGAGAATTTTTCCATTGAAATTGAACGTGGTAAAAAATTACATTGCCAAAGGGCAAGGACAAGCCAACTGTTGGAATAGTAACCTGAAACTCGTTCTGGTAAATTCAAAATATGTCTGAGGTTGTCAGGATTATAAATGTCTAACGTTTTGTGGGGCGTATGCATTTTATTATAACGCTCACGTAGTTTGTTTGGCAATTAAGCCAATCCAGTAATAAAGAGTCACCTGCTGCCATAAAAATCCACAGTTGCAGTTTGCAATTCGAATTTGCATTTCTAGCATTTCTCATTTGCATTTTACATTTGCATTTTACATTTTCAGCATATTCATGCGGCTTTTCAGTGAAATAGAAGGAAAACCGGAAAAGCGGGTGGAAATCGAGGCAGTCGAGCGGGAAAATCTCTCAACTGTTGCCATTGTGGCAACTTTTCGCTTGACAATTGTTCGCTAATGAAACGCGCTCTTAAGTTTGCCAGTTTGAAAAGGGAGAAGTATTATTCACTCGCTACTGGAATGTCCATAAACGTGCATATTTGCTGAACCCATTACATAGCCACCTATATATGGTATAGTATATCTTCCATATGTTCGCGTGCAAATACTTTCAATATTATTTAACGCCATTTAATGTTTCCTTAACTTAACAACCCAGTGCGAGCCACCAAATTGCTTGTAGAATCAATTTACTCGTGGCGGCGGCCTACAAAGGATGGTGTGTGCGTGTGATCATCCACTGGTTAATTAGAATAAACGCTCGGATTTTTAAAACAATTAATAATTAACCCAATGGTGGGAGGTACAGTGAGACCCAGAAAGATGAGATAACTTCTACAGACTACTGTGAGCATCGTAAAATGATTGAAACTATAACAATAAAGTGTAGAAAAAATGTATGACCACTGAGAAAAAAAATGGTAAGCTTTCTTTTTACACTTGAAATCATTTATAAATGGATTAAGAGTTTTACAACTCAAACTATTTTCATGCCAAAGCAATTTTTGATCTGTGTGGGTTTTTATAACATCTAAAACTATAACAAAGTCTTCATTCAACTCTATAATATGGTAAATAAAGTTTGCATTTCCTTTTTCGATATCCCCTCTTTCATTAATTTTAATTATCTAAATCACATCAAGTACTAACACTATCAATTTCAATAATCAATTACCATGACCATTAATCATCTTTCAAAAGCTTCCATCGTATAATATTTCTTTCCATTCGTTTTTGACCAGCCATTTAAGTAAATTCAATTAAATTTGATGCTTAGTCTAATAACACGAATTTTCATAAAATGTTTGGGTGATTCACAAAAGTGTTGAGCATGAGTTTCCACCTCAGTGATTATATGGCTTGATGAGTTGCGGTTGTTTTTGTGCGATTTAAAATCACAGAAAAAGTCAATCAATTGGCGAAAACCAATTTAAACATCTCTAAAGTGTTGGCCAATCAATTAGTCTTTTGTACATAGCTTAAATTAAAGTGATTTTAAATTAATTAACGAAATAAAAGGCAGCTCTTTCCAATATATCTTACTATAAACTGGCATTATCGTTAGTTAAATACTTAATTATACTATGGAAACTCACCTGTTAGGAAATTGGCAACCAATGCCAGGCACACGGCATAGATAAACATAGTGGTTGACATTTTGTGGTTTTTCGTTCGGGTTCTTAGATATCCAATACTGAATTATCCAACGCTGATGCTGTAAGAGGTAATAGAATTTCCTTTTTAATTTATCACACATTTTTTTGTTTTTGAGTTGGGACTTGTTTGTAATTTGATTAGCGCTAAAAGCAGCGGTCTGTTCATTAGCATTGCTTTAGTAATATTTATAATCTATAATGTTATTTACACTAGTAAACCGGTATTAGAACGTGGCTCGCAAACGTGACAAGTGCTAATATTAAAGGTGCTAATGCAACTTTTTATTAAGGATTTAAATATTTTTATAGACAGCTTAAGCTCTTGTTAAAATCAGGGCGGTAGGTATATGTGCTTTAAATTTTATATAAATATATATAGGTAAATTAAATTAATATACATGATAATATATTTAAATTGATAAGCCATAAACAAAAGCAAATAATATTTGGAATTCAGAAATTCGTATTTTAAACAGCCTTATAAACACTGCTTTTATAATGTGTATACAAATCATTAAAAAAATATTTTTTGTGATTCTTTTAATTTATTTTTCAGTTTTTGTATTATATTTCCTTTTTAATAACCTTTGAGAATTAATGTATTTTAATTGATAAGTCATAAACAAAAGCGAATAATATTTGGTGTTCTGAAATTCGGATTTTAAACAGCCTTATAAACACTGCTTTTATTATATGTATAAAAATCATTAAACAAATAATTTTTGTAACCCATTCTTTTTACTTTATTTTTTAATTTTTCTATTATATTTCCTTTTTAATAACCTCTGAGAATTTTAATTGAAGGCCGCACAACTCTTTATGGTCATATATGGTTACAACACACTTTTATTCTCACACAATCGGATTGTTATTGTTTAATGCGAGCGGACAACTTGACGCGAGCACCGTCGAGATGAATCTGAAAACTCGTATTTAACTTTTCGAAAAACGTTGATTTTTCAAAAAGTCAGCTCGGCCAGAAATGAGAGATCCGAAGAGAGCTGCTTCCAGAGAGCGAAGAAGAGCGACTTCAACAACAAGATCGACCCTAAAGTCAGCAAATGGGAAGAATGTAAAACTTCCGTCACTCGATCGTCTTTACGGGGTCGTATTATAAGTATGTGGTATATATATACATATATATTCCTATATAGGGGGATGCTACACAAGGTAGTTCACTCGCTGCATTGATAAGCTCTGGCTTTCTGGTTTCAGCTTGGTTCTTAACCCAAAAACAAAACACAATCCAAATGGAATCCACCGGCTTGAACCGGTTAAGACCGACGTGACGTCACTGGCAGACTGACAAAAAAAAAAGTAAACAAGCTATGACTAAATTATTTCTCATTAGTTGACATTGGCCTTCCTTTTGAATAGCGAGTACTATGCCATTTTAACCATTTAACAACTAAAGAAATCCCTTGTTCATGGTGGTTCAGATGGGTCTTGCACATAGAGAAAGTGTTTGTTTGCCTCAGGGAAAACTATTATAAGTTTTAAAACAAAAAATATTACAATATTTTCGGGTTATCTATAACAAAACATTAAAGTTTAAATTCAAAAATTGGTTATATTCCTATAAAAACACTTATTTTTTCAAGGAATATCAAAACATCTTTTGAAACAAATCGAAATACTATACTAAACCTATACTATAAATTCGAAAATAAAAGAAATTAGAATATATTCAGGTTGTTATAAAGATATCCATAACAAAACATTCAAACATAAATTCATAGAATATAAATAAGGGTATAAACACTTATTTTTTCAAAGAATATTAGCAAATCTTTTAAAACAAATTGAAGTACTATAATAAATATATACCATATACAATTCATAATTTGTTTATGTTCCTATGTAAACACCAAGGTTTTTTTCCTATACTATCACCAAATCGTTAAAAACAAATTGAAATACTTAACGATCTATTAAAATAATCTCAATCTTAGAATATAAAAAGTGTAGTACAAATTAATGTAGAAATAAAAATATAATAACCAGTTTAACTGCCTTGATATTGGGTTTACGATCGGAAGTCCTAAATGAAATCTTGGCTTCGGGCCGAGAAGTCATTGCCTCTACTAGCATGTTTTTCTATCAATATTAAGTGATCGTTTTGGTTCCGGTGAGCTGGGTTTAGCGATAGGAGCACGTTCTTACGACCGAGTTCCATAAACACACATGCATAATTCTATTCCCTTATCAACGGAGCTGATTAGTTAAAACTGGTTCGCACCTCCAAAAACTCAGCTCCGGTGGTTTGGTCTAGTCTGCATCGGTGACGAAGTCAGACTTCCAGACTCATCTTAATTGAGGAAAGCAGTGGTGTTGATAGGGAGGATGGAGCTTATCTGTCCTAGTTCAAGGCAGTTTTGGCGGCAATGCCGATTTCTTGAGTCATCGTTACGCGTGCTAAGTGTCATTTTAAAGTCCGCTCCGTTGTTTTGCTGCCTTAATTAGGTGTCCAATTCTGCAAACAATGCAACTAATTTGAAATTTTCACGCTGCTTGGTGTGGTAGACCGTTCAGTATATGGTTTTAGCCAGTTTGAAGCGGTTCTTGGGCTAAAACAAGCCAGGCAAGGCCATAAAGTTGTGAAAATTTGGTGGAAAAATGTTTAATAAGTTTTCCAACAAGTAAAACCTCATATTTGGTTGTGTAAAAAATGTGGTAAAATTGTATAAGTTACATCCCAACTATTTAATATTTTTAAAAATTTTAAATTCCTTTTCTTTTATTAAGAAACATGGTTAGGATATATGTACATAAAGCAATATACAAAAAACAATTTTATTATATCTTTGGGGTTTCTTATTTTAATAAAACTCTGTAGTCTTGAAAAAATATGTTCGAACTAAAAAAAATATTTCATTTATTTAATTTGTTTTTAAAAAACTCACTTTATTTTGTTTCTAATAGTTATGTGAGTTTAAATATTCGAATTCCGAAACCCATCGACTGTAGAACCAAACTGCTGCAAATCGAACGTGTAACTGAGGGCTCTGAAAATGTTGTCTTTGTCTTTAGCCAAATGGCATTGGGATCGTATAGAAGTCAGAAATCAGCTGATCAGCAAGCATTATGGGGGAGGTCAGACTGGGGGATTCGATTATACAAAAACAAATTCAGGCAATTCAAATGAGATTCTTGTTTGCGGAAAACCGGTTTGCTGACTTTTGCTCTCTTTTTCTAATAAATGATTTCTGGAATTGTAACTCCCCATTGGGACACCCTACCAATTTCAACTGGCAAACTTGAATTGCACAAAAAGTAAATATTTTTTTGGGGTTAATGCTCTAATCAAAACAAGGGGAAATTCCTAACGAAAGAGCCCATATTTTGTTAGACAAAGCTTTTAGTCGGTTCTTCAACTAAGCCATAGCTTAAAAGCTTAAGATTTGAATGATTTCAAAGCTCATCCTCAGCTCTAAAAAAATAAGAAAGTTAAGTTTAAGCAATTCTTTGCCTTATATGTTAGTAAACATTTTGATTACTGGTACTTTAACCCCAATCTAAAGACGAAACTCTTTTCGTACTATCGCTATTTTTAGTCACAAACATAATTTAATGCAATCAATTGAGGGACACTACACTGAAAGAACTTAAATATACCCCATCTTGCTGTCTAGAATATTATTCCTGGTTCAACTTCTTTATTTCAGTGAAATCAAAAGTTATTTGAACATTATATTTTAATTTGATGGGTACATTAACCTTATTTCGATCATTTCAGGCTATTATAATCCTTAAGTATAATTTTGATCAATACTGGTTATTATAATCCTCAAGATGTTGTAATCATTGTACGTTATTATAATACTTAATACATTATTTTAGAGAAATAATCCTTAGATCCATATTTTAAACCATCAGTTTCTTAAAAACTTGTATTACTCATTGTAATTTTCTGTGTAAGTTCAAAGTATTACAAACTGGGAGACAGGGTAAAAACAATCTCCCCAAAGGGCAATCTGCCCCCATATCTTCTTCAATTTCGCGCACTGATTGGGGCACAAAAGCCAGCCAAAACGATCTGCAAAAATATATATATCATAAGTACAGCGAGTGAAAGAGAGATTTAATTCAATTGACCAGCGTCTTGGGGCAGCAATTTGTGCGACTTTGTGATAAGCTAACTTGGAGCTCCAAGAGGAAGCCTGCGATTAAGCTTAATTAATGCACCGGGCAGATTTATGCTTGGGCTATAGCTATACTTATACGACATTTTCTGGCTCTTCACGTGTGCGTCTCGATCTCCAGATCAAGTGTCTGGACGCCTAGTTGAAATGGCGCTCAGGGTTATAAGTGGATAGTGGATAGTCCAATGCACTGCCTTCGCCTAATTGCAGGTTCTAATTGCGAGTACTTAAATATACATAAATAACAGAGTAAACAGACAAATGGGGTAAAAATAAAAGGGGGAATACATGGAACTTGAGTTCCGAAAATGTTTTTGATTTATTTGGAATTGAAATTACACCGAACCATTTGTTATCTCCTCGTTGAGCAACTTATGTTTACTTTCCAAACATTGTTCTGAGTTTAGATTAGGGATTTCATTACCGAACAATGTGACCTTAAAGACCTCAAGCCTTGATAAGCGTTAGTTAAGTACCCCTTTTAGTATCAGCTAAAAATACTAAATTCATTAAAATACTTAAAAGTTTTTAATAATACATTGGAATTTAGAAAAACGATTCAAATGTAAAGTGTATATATATATAGTAATTATTAGATTATTAAAATTAAGGAGTAGTATTTTTATAAAGGTTTAAGGTTTGTATTAGTTAAAAAATAAAATACATGTGAAAACAACATGATATATATGAATATTATGAATATTATTAAGTAAATATGATCTTTACCCAGGTGAAGATTAATCTTGATGAATATGTATTAGCCCCAATTTTCAATTAATATTCTCAAAACCCCAGCTTTGCAGACCAGTGTCGATTGAGACACTTTTTTGACTGCAAAACCGAAATGCGAGGAGGACGCACACTCGAAAGCTTCCCGGCCAAAGCTCGTCGGCTGCAAGGTGGGAATCTGAGGCTGGAATTGGGGCCTCAACCCACTGCCCCCCATATCGCCACCCGATCCGATCCGACCCGTACTCATCCGCCCCGTGGACTGGCCGTCCGCAAGTCGTGTTCGTGGTACATTTGTCGAGTGCGGCTGCTGCTTTGCCCAGTCGTTTGCCGTTTGTCAACCGTTTGCCAGCGTTTTCCGAGAGCGCTAGTTTTTTGCAAGGAATATATATTAGAACCATCAGCCCCCCCATTAAAAAACGGAAAATCTGTGAATATAGTCGTCAGTGTTGAGAGCCGCACGAGATATACCATAAAATATTAGAATATTATTAGTGATATAAACTAAAGAGTGTTTCAAGTTAATAAAAACAAAAAATGCAGTACATCTATGTGATTAGTGCGCTGATTTTGGCCATCGCCGTGCAGCAAGGTAAAAGGATTTGAGTCAACTACACAAACATACTCGTTGAAATCACCAAAACGGACGTCCGCGATTACGATTACATAATAGGAGAGATATACGATATGGAAGGGGCTGGTTCCTGGGTGGCTCGGAGAAATGGGAGAGCTCGAGGCGCCGTCCTGACGCCATCGAAATCCCAGAGTATCGTATCTAAAGTCTCTAAGCCGGCCGCCGTGGCGCCTTTTTGTCCACCCCACTGAGTTATATTTGCATTCAATAGATATAAGATGGGTTCCTTGAGCTCTCTGTGAAAGGGAACTTTTTTCTCTACTTCATTTGTTGGCTCTCTGCCACAGCTTTTTCCGGGGCTGCGAAGGAGGTGGGGTTGTCCATGGGGTCGTTGCCATATGACATCCTAACTAAGCCAGATATTAATTAGCTCACACTATACTATCCTTTCGGATGGGATAATCTCAAGGAACTTGTGTTAGTCTCAAGTTTTTCTTTCCTTCTTTTTACCGAAAATCCCTTTATAACTTTTCGCACATATGTGTGTATGTGCAAGGATTATATAGGACATGCGCACTCTATTTGGTTAAAGGTCCTGGGGGCCAGTTGCAGTTATCTGATACCCAAATCCGCTCAGTGACTTATATAAAAATATGTTTTATTAAAGCGAAACATCTTTGTTTTGTAAATACCTCAATAAGTGGAAATTGTTTTTAATTATTATTATTGGAATTTCCTTATACCATATATATCCCATATTTTTCGCGTTCTAGGCAATTCAATCAATGCAATTTATGACTATTTATAGACTGTAACAAACCTTAATTGAGCATGACTAAGTGTAAACAGTGGGTGAGGTTGGCGAATCCATGAAAGCAACTTGGGAATTTTAAGTAAATGGGTTATTAATAATAAATAAGATATTTTTTCTCCATTAATATAGGGTAAAAATCAATTTTAGAAGTCAAAGAAATTGCAATAAGCAATACAATATTATCAAATAAGATATTTTTGGTTTAGTTGTATTGGCTTTAAAGTTTAAAGTTTAAATTTCCTAATGTTAAAATATTTTTTTAAAGGCTACCATTTGTTTTGGCTTAAATGTTTGTAATTACTGGAGAAATTAGGCTTACGAAAAAGTTCAAAAGCACTAAGAATTGATTATAATTTTCTATCCCTCCCTACCCTATTAAGGTACTCTTTTTCCATCCATACACTCTTTTAAACTTTTAATAAAAACAGCTAATTTTAATTCATATGCTAACTAATCATTAAAAACCTGCCATATTTGGAGCTCTTTTTTAGTATAGTGCATTCTTTTGTCATGCTGATGATGTTTCTAGCTCTCAGAGTATCTAGTCCACCCCGCATAGTGGCTCGTCTTACAGAGGTCCTCTTCTTTTGTTCTCAAGTATCTTCGCCCAGAAGTAGGCAGCACTTTTTTCCGCCCTGCTTATGTAACCCAAATTGACTGAGAATGGACAGTGGAAGTGGGAGTTGATTCAGAGCGAAATGAAGTGAGGCAAAGTCATTCGAGTCCATTAGCAACGTCGATGTCTCAATTAGCAGGGCCCTCCTAAGAGCCTCGCAGTCTGTCACTAATGGAGGCGTCGATGGAATCGCTGCAATCACTGGCATCACTGGCATCTCCATGCCATTGTGCCATTTTTGGCACAGCATGGGGCAAAAGCGCATCGCAAGTTGCACCATTTTTTTGACGGCGGGGCAGGTGACATTCTAGCGGACATTTTCAGCTCGTATATTCGTATATTCGGAAAATTAAATAACGCGAATCTCGTGTCGCGCACGACCTTAAATTCAATTTAGCTAAGGCAACGACATCAATCACAAGCACCACAGATCTCTTTATACTTATATCTCTAGGTATAGCTCAAGTATTTGTTTACACCCCGGTTTCTTTACTTGTGAAAATATTAAGGTTAAGCATATGCTGCAAATGGAAATTTTCTAATTGGCATTAACAATAGCTTTGCGGTCAATTAAGTGGAAGATTGCATGGGGGGCAAAAAATAAGTGACTGTTAAAAGGAATCTAGTGGAAAGGAATATGCACTCAGGATGCGCAAATGCAATTACGAAAATAACTTTGTAAGAGAAAAGGGAGGAAAAATATAGACCTTTAAAGGTTTAGTAAGGATGATGAATGGAAATTAACTCTGGAGATGTTGAATTTAATAAGAACTTTGGTTGAAAGAACTAAAACAATATATTTTGAGAGCCAAAGTTTTTATAAAAGGTTACTACAAATACCTAGAAAAATATCTTGAGAACCTGTTAGCATTAAATGTAATTATTTTCGGTATGATATCTTAGCTTATTTTAAAAAATACTTTCATATTTAGTTCTTAATCTACGTTCTTATGATACACATTCATTAGGTATTATTTTGAAATGATACTGGTATCATGGATAAATACTAAATACCAAATAATAAATAATAAATGTATTAGTAATTATTGATGATTAACATATAAAAGCAATATACTTTTAAAAAATGTAAACCTTTTTAATATATAATATTGTAAATTGATTGTTTTAATCATTCTCCGTAGGATATGCCATCAAGTGCTTTGTTTGTAACAGCCACAAAGATGCCAACTGTGCATTGGATATACCGCCCGAAAACTTGGTGAAGGACTGCGATGAGCAGTACTCGTCCCGTGGAAAGGGGGTTCCCACGTACTGCCGGAAGATCACGCAGATCATCGAGTTCTCCGTGAACAGCCGTGAGTAGAGATATAATATTTATAAAAGAAATACCAAATAAACCCTGGATAACCGCTTTGCAGTGCCCCCGGATAGCCGTGTGATAAGGACCTGTGCCTATCACAACCAGACCTCCACCAACTACTGCTATCAGCGTGCCGGGTTCGGAGGTCGCCAGGTGGTCTGCTCCTGTGATACGGACAACTGCAACGGAGCCGGGGCGATGGGCGCATCGGCGGTGGGCGTGGCAGCCATGGTGGGACTCCTGCTGAGCGCCCGTCAGTATCTACAGCGTTAAGGACGGAATCGAGGAAGCCCCTCAGTTGTTTTTGTTTCTTTTATCGAATGCATCCACCCAGTTTTCTTTTCGTATTGCTGCTGACTCTTTGACTTCTGTGACACTTTCACCGCTTACTCCCCAATCATCATCAATAAGGTCCACTCGCAGAGCTGCTCCAGAGCCTGGTAATAAAAACTAAAGACCCTAAAATTAAAATATATTATAATAGCATATTTTTTCAGCTCTGGTCCAGCCTGATTTTGTAACGTTTTTTGAATGGAGAACCGTAAAAGCTTTATACAAAGTATTAAATAATGAAATAATTCCCTAACTAGAAGTGTATATAAAAAACCAAAGAGAGCATGAAACAATTGGCCAATATAATCGTTCAAATCTATTTACATTAACAGGAATTTTTATTAAACGAAAGCAAGGAAAATAACGAATAATTAAAACTAAAACCTACCGCAGTTGAAAGTATTTAACAAATCGAAATAAACGAATAAGTCAAAGATGGCCACAAATCTAACGATGTTAAAAATTAAGGCTACCGAAATGGAAAAGTAGTACATAATAAATGTTAACACTCTTCGCCTAAGTTTCTCTATTTTTATTTACATAAGACTTAAACCAACCGATTTCTAACAAGCAAGCTAAATGTCAGCAATAGCGAAAATAAAAATTTAAAAGTATTAAATGGAATAAAGCTCAACGAGGAGAACACTTCATAGAATAATTAGCAAGCAATTGGGAGGAGAGTCGTCCTTGGAAAAAGCCCTAAGATAGTTGTGACACGCTTAAAGGCGACGACCACGCCCATATCTACTGCACTCCCCAGGGGAAAAAACACTCGTTGTTGTAACCAACTGCCAAAAACGGAAAACTTTGAAGTCGTTTCATCTACCGCATAGGCACCACCCAGCAAGGAGACACCAAGTTTATGGGATATCCAGTAGAGGAAAACACCAGTGAAACCTTTTGTCCAACGTAGCAATAAATGCAGATGCAGTTACCAAGTAAAACATTATAACGTTACAGAAACCAAAGCAACAAATACATCATTTTTAGTTCCGAATAGCAAAATAACAGTTTATAGTGAAAATTTTTTTAGTTAAGAATCTCCTCTAAAACGCAATATTTATAATGCAATAAAATTGTAAAATGTTTAAAGTGAAAAACAATAAATATGAATACAAAAGCCGAATGTTTTAATTGCCCAGAGATCATTGTGCAAAAATTTGGAATGTTTTTTTTATATTAAAAACTAAAATTGTCGTATTGACGTATACTTAGACCACATTCGACAATATTAAAACAGGTTTATTTTTACATCAATATGATATTAACATATTCATATTTTGAATTGCTAATTTAAATTAATTTTAAATTAAATACGGATCGGAAAATTATTCGGCTAGCAGACCAGACATACAAAACCTTTTATTACTCTTTAAAAAAAAGTTTAAAAATCTAGGCCTAAACATTTGATTTGGATTTCAATTTTACAGATTTTCAGCGGAGTCTATGATATTTGAGGTAATTATTATATTATAAATTATAATATTTAATGGAATAACAAATAGTACTTGCTGACTCCATTAGAACTCGCTAATATTCCGTACAAAAGAGAACCCAAAATGCAGATAAGCGGATTATATCGATATCGTGTGTTCCACGTCATGGACATTGACATCTTACTATAGATCAACATCATACTACAGGATCAGGCAGCTAAGAGTCCTTGTGGACCACCCTCTTGAGGGCCAGGTAGCAGTGGCGGGTGCTCAGATCATGATAGCCCACGGGTCCACGCTCGCAATCCGCACAAACCAGGAACTTCCTGCCGTCCACCGTGTTGGAGAATCCAATGTTCTCGAAAGACATCATGTCCTTGACCAGCCAGAAGTCCTTCAAGGGCTCGCTGTTCAGGTTGTCCGCCGTCTTGTCCTGCTTTTGCATCATAAGGGGTACTTCCACCTGGACGAGAAAAAGGTAAACAATTAGGGGATTGGCCCAGTGGGAAGGTAACAACCCAGCGAACTCACTTCCTTCTCGTTGAAGGTGCCCTCCTGCGCCTTGAGCATCAAACTATTACAGAACTGGCAGCGCACGTTCGTTTTGTTCTTTCCATCAACTATTTGCCCAGCAAAATCAGCTTCTTCTGTCATTTTTAATGGATTAATCTTAACTTTGTACCAAATGCATAAAATCTAGTGTTAAAATGTATTAAGCAACCGCTTACCAACACTTGTCTATCGAGAGGTCGCACTAAAAAATCGATAACCGATAGTTATCCCAGCCGTTGAAAATTCAAATTCAAAAACAAAGTTTACTGTGGAGTTCATGTTATTTTCAAGATTTCTTTCAAACGAAGAAAATTTTTTTTGCTTTCAATAACACTTGTGAAAAGTAGTAAAATTACTCCGTAAAAATTCCTCGTCATTTTGTATGATTGGCTGTTTAGATTTTTCCACTAACCATTTCATAATTTAAAATACAAGGTAGAGTTTTAATAGTTTTAGCCACGCCACTTTTAAATCTGGTCCCCCACCTCTATCCCATGGTTTATGGTCATACTAAAAGCATGCGATAGGAAGAAGAAGAAATGGCAATGACTTTAATGAGTGCTTGGCAACTCTGGCTGTCGTTTTTGAAAAATAATTCCTTTTCTTCTCTGACTTTCTAGGGAGCGGACGGTCTTCTGTTTGGTCGAGACTTCAAGACAACCTGCCACTGAATAAACAGGAGATACCCAGATTTCAATCTTGTAAGTTTCTGAAGAGGATTAAAAAATTCACAAGCGAAGGGTGCTAGAAAGCTAACCTCAAACTATTTTAGAGTTTTCCTGTTTTTGCTTTCGGTTTTTGTTCTTCATGCTGTACATAGACGCAACTTCTGGCATAACCATGAACTATTACCAAGTGCCCTCGGTGACCTTGCAGTCGATGCACCAGCAGTCGACCTACCAGCAAACCTATTTGGATCGCAATCGCATGGTCACCGATGTCTTTGTGCAGGAACAGAGCTCCTGGTCGGTAGCCACGCCAGCTCCGTCCGCGGTGTTTATACCAGGTACTGCCAATTGCCCCATTGTGACCGGAAATGCCCATGGGCACTGCCATCACAACCCGCCGGTGCCTCCTCCACAGCCCCCAACTGTGAATCCCCAACATGTGACCTACGTGCCCATGCCGGGTGTGCAGTACTACGCAGCCAGTTCCGGTAACTCCAGTTCTGATAATTCCTCTGTATCCTGTATTTAATTTATTCCAAATCCTCGGCAGCCTCCATGAACGCCTATGGGCAGGGTCAGGTGTATTGCGCTCGTGCCTCGGCCACCGCCTGTTGTAACATGGCTGGCTACTATGTGCCACAGTACTATCCATGTTGCACTCCAGCTCCGCCGCCCAAGACGTTCTGTACGACCCAAACCCAGACCCAGACGCCCGTTAAGCTCTGCTGCGATGTGGGCACCCAGGTGGATATGGGCCTGGAACTATCTCGCTCCGAGTTAAAGAAGCCAGAACCAGTTCTGTTTAAGGATAAGTGAGTTCTCTTCAGTTGTGTAGACTATCCCATAATATATCATTACAACAAAAGTTCCTATATTCTACATTTTGAAAATCATTATCATAAGTAATCGAAAATATCTGAATAAAGCTTTACAGTCCTTTATATATTTAGTTATTTAAAGAAAACCATATTTCCAACGTTTCTTATTTCTAAATTTTCCAAAATGTGTGCCCTTCTCAGTTTCAATACCCTTTTTTTAAAACTATGTAATTTGTTCTTTCGAAGAGTGCCAAAACTTTTGTAGTTCTGTGTTTGTCCTTCAGTCCTTTAACATTTTAAACCTTAACATATTATGAAAAAGTCTTTCTTAATCTATCCAATAATAAACATAAGTTCTCATCATTTTTCTGGTAAAACAAAGCTACAGCTTCAGAGCTTTGGGTATAATTCCGTCCCAAATAGCTTAAAATATCAAAAACTTGTTATGAAATACCTACTTATGATAAAAAATCAAATGTTTTAGCTATGCTCCCGACGAATCGAGCATTAGTTCTTTGGAGACCGGAGCCGGCGATGGGTTGCGGGTCCAGAATTTACTGCGCAACTCGGAGGTGCTCTTGCATGAGCAGCGCCTCCACGACATTACCAGGATCTCACTGCAGGGCAGCGAGATAGCCGAACGTCTGGCCAATGCCCATCGCAACCGTCCGTGCTTTAAGAAGATCGATACCCTCTGTGCTCGCTTGAAGCAGGATCTCCTGCGTCCGGATGGCGTGCTGCCCAACATCAACTCCCAGGGAATCGCCTGGGCTGTTAAGGACTTCATTTTCGTCTTTACTCGCATTGTGAATGCCTGGGTTATCTTGAAAGGCTATGTCTACAACACCCCCGAGGGTTTGAACAAGATTAAAGATGAGCTGCCAATGGGTTTCATGGCCACCTTTGATGCCTGGCAGGTTTCCACCTTGACCCTTGTGCAGATGATCATCAAATCCTTTGTGAGTCTGGATGAGCTGCTGCTGAAGCAGAAGAACAGCTTTTCGGCAAAAGAAAACGCTCTGATAAACGTTAACGTGAACACTAGTAGCTCATTGAGGAGTCTAATAGACAGCAACGATAGCAGCAGTTTTGGCCAAAAGCACCAGGCATTGACCAATGGACAAGGTCCAAGTGCCTATAGCACTCCCAGGAATCACAATGCTATGGGGAAATCCTTTTCAGAAGTTCAAGAGCCCTGCTCGGCGCTCTACAAACCCAAGTGTGCATTGAATCTCAACTATTTGTACACCATGATCGAGGACTCGGAGGAAACCCAACGCAATGTAGATGCTAATGGTACCTACTTGAAGACTGGGACCTATCAACCACTGCAGAAGGAGACCAAGCAATTGGAGCCCTTGAAACCAAAGGATCCGTACGGGGAGTCCCAATGGCAGAGGAAGGCTGCTCCAAAGGCCCTGCCGCCGCCAGCTCCGGAGGTTCGTGAAGATCCACCTCCGGAGATTCGTAAAGATCCATCTCCGATGCCTCGTCCAGAGCCGGAGCGTATAAGAGATGTGAGGTCTTATACCAATCCATTTAGCCTGATCGGGAGGGAGGTCACCCGCCAGCTGTACGAGTTCAGCGAGGAAGTTCTGGAGCTCGAGCACCTGGAGCGTTTCTTTAAGAAGCAGTTCACCCGCAACTATGTCAGTAGTCTTAGTTAAAGCCCCATACTACCTATTTGTATCCCTCAATTACTTTTCCAGTACCCCGATTTCTTCGAGCTATGCCAGGACGATTTTATAGATGTGCGCGCCATCATTCTGCAGTGCGAGAGTGCCTCCTACCAACATGTTTACCAGGCCATTCACGATCTCCGCCGGATCGCCTTCGCAGTGCGGTGCTATTTAAAGGTACCGAAGGTTTGATTCCTTGCAGCACCTTGCCATATACTCTACATTTCTACATTTGTTTTCGATTATTCTCCGATGCTGCTTTTATAGGTCAAGGAAAGAGTTGATCCAAGCCAAGGTATCAGTATGAGTATGCCATTAAATGGACTAATGTACTAATCGCTGGTCTCATTCGGGCACTAATCTCATATATAACACGTTAACCAGCACACGATAATTAATATTTACAAAAACCCCGCCATTATGCTTTACTGATTCCCTATTTTATTAAATCCATAGATGTATTCGGACGAGAACCTCATGCATTACATTGATCTCTACGAGCGCTCTGTGAATGGTATGCTGTCCAAGCCACCGCATTTGCCCAACCAATACGATCACATCATGGGCCGACCAGGCGAGAAGCTTTTCAACTACGAAATCTAAGCGAAGAATCTCCAACACTTGTATTCTTTTCATTTTTCCACAGAAGTTGGCCCTACTCAAGCGGCTTGTTAAATGTTAAAAATCTAGTTAAGTAGAATTTATAGGAATTTAATTGCGAAACCTACTAAGAGTCAATCAGGCGAACTGCAGTGACTTAAGAAAATTTCCAACTTAATCTAAGTCTAAAAAGGTCTCAAGTCTGATTCGCAAAACTTTAAAATTGCCTAATTCCTAAGATTCAACATCTGTTTTTCGTTTGCAACAACTAGTCAAGCATGTGATCAAAACCAAACCTATATTTTGTAATATAGTATATATTATGTAACATATTCTGTACATTTTGTACGGATTTAACTACTTGGTTAAATTCACTACAAAGATAGTTTGTCAATCAAAAATCATATTTGTACAATGAAATAAATCTAGAACAAATATTGTTAGTTTGTATCGACTTCTTAATTGTTAAGGGAACTCAAAATGGAATCGTACATTAGGAACATAAATTAAACAGAATAATAAATAAAATCGTATAACAATTGACTTATGTACAATTGGTAGTTAATTAACTGTACTTGGTGCTAATGCGGTCTGACGAAATCCTCGGGATTAATGTCCTGGGCGAGTAGCATTCCGTGAAAAATAGTTGCGCTATTGGAGGCCAATTCCTGAGGCTTGCCTTCCTCACAAATCCGACCATCGTCCAGTACTATAATCCGATCCATGGCGTTGAGACCGCGCAGGCGGTGAGCGATGAAAAGGAGTGTGCAACTCTTGAAGGCATTCCGTAAGGCCTGCTGAATGCTCAGATCCGATTCGTCGTCCAGGTTGGATGTACCCTCATCAATGGCCACCACCTTGGCGTTTTTGAGCAGAGCCCTTGCCAAACAGAGAAGTTGCCTTTGACCAGCGGAGAGATTGTTGCCGCACGATTCCACTTTTCCATCTAATCCACCCAATTGCTGGACAAGAAGAGTGGCCGCTGCCGAGTTCTTAATCGCATGCCAGATTTCCGAGTCGTGGAAACCATGACGCGGATCCAGATTTTCACGCACGGTGCCTGAGGAAGGGTAAAGGTTTTTATTTATAAAATATAACGCGTCTAATAAACTTTATACTGACCCTCGAAGAGGAAGGGCTCCTGGGTGATAACCCCTATCCGTTCTCTTAGCACACTTAGAGCCAGAGTTTTCAGATTCACCTGATCCAATCGAATCTCTCCTTGGGACAAGGGTGCCACTCGCAGGAGAGCAGATAAGACTGATGTTTTGCCAGCTCCAGTGCGTCCGACGATGCCAATCCGCTCGAAGGCTTCGGTTTGGAAGGATACACCTCTCAAAGCAGGAGCCAAGTGTTCTCTGTAGCTTAGTTGGACCTCCCGGAAGCTCAGAACTCCTTGGGTAGGCCAACCAAACGGAGGCTCAGCACTACCCGAGGCATTCTGTTCTTCCTCCAGCTGCAGATACTGATCGATACGCTCCACTGCAACCAATTCCTGCTCCGTTTCAGCCACAGCATGAAGGAGATCGCCCAATTGACCAGTTATGGAGAGAGCATATGAGATGCACAGACCCACCAAACCGGGGTTCGTTGTGTGAGAGGCGGTAATGGCTGCCAGTAGACCTGCTCCTCCGACCAGGAGTGTTCCCAGCAGCTGGAGTCGAAGAGCTAGCCACTGCTGAGCGGCCGATTGTGTTAACTGGGCTTTTATGCTCTCTTCGAGCTTCACTTGGAAATCCCTCTGAAATCTCGGACTTGCTCGCATACTCCTAATCGTCGTCAATCCCTGAAGCGTCTCCGTAAAGTGCGTGTAGAGCGGTGACATTGCATTGCTTGACAACCGCTTGATGTCTCTGGAGGCGTGGCGATAACGCTGCTGTAAGTTCAGGTAGATTGGTACCATGGGAATGATGACCAGTCCTAGCCAAGGCATCGCATACAGGCTGACACACAAAGCTCCTACTAGGCCAGCAAGTTGGGCCAATAGAATATTCAAGATGAAAGGCAGGGAGTCGTCTACCGTGTTGGTATCGGATGAGAAGCGGTTCAGAATGCGACCCACAGAGGTGATGTCAAAGAAATTGAATTTGGCCTGGAAAATATAGTATTAATATTAATTTTCTAGTGGTTTTTATATCACTTAGGTACTCACAAACATAACTTTCTTCAGGAGCTTTTCGTGCATAAAGATGGCCGCCTTTATTCCAGCGTAGGCAAAGAGAAACGCCCTGGCCAGAGTCACCAAGGAATTACTCACAGCTATGGCGGTGAAGATGCTCAAATAGAATCTTGTCGTGTGACCCGATCCAGTGTCATTCCCCAACGCAGCTCCCATCAACTCATGATCCAGCGAAGTGTCATTCGAATGAGGATCCAACGTAGTTTCAGTGACCCAATAAGCTAGCCAGGCATCACTTAGATTCCTTGTCAATTGCATCAGTAATACAGAAAGCAGGACGGTAAAGGCCAGTGGAGATGTAACAGCCTTCCAATAGCAGCTAAAAACGTCCCCTGAGAGATGTCCGTACTCTCTAGATTCCTCCACAAGCAGACTGTCCACACTCTTCTTGTCATCCTGGTTGGATAACTCCACTGAACGCCGCCTGACTGTTTCCTCTTGCTCATCATCCGCCTCTTCATCCAGACTTAAATCAATGCTCTGGGTCATGTATTCACTGGGAAGAAGTTGACCATCCTTCACTTGGAGAATCTGATTGGCGTGGAAGAATAACTGAATGCTTCGTGTGACCACAATGCGCGTTTTGTGCTTAAGGAGTCGCAGGATACAGTGTTTGATAATATGTCTGGATACATGGGCGTCTAAGGAGGAGAGTACATCGTCCAGAAGGTAGACTATCAGAAAGAAAAGTTAGATATATTAGTTAGAATCATTTTGAAATATATTGGTGTACAGCTTACCTTTCTTATCCTGATAAACAGCCCTAGCTAGTGCCACTCTAGCCCTTTGTCCACCAGAAAGGGTTCTTCCGTTCTCACCCACGCCAATGAGATCACCTCCAAGGATTTGCAGATCCTCCTCCAAGGCACATGCATGCAAAACAGTTTTATACCACTGCTCATCAAACTGTGCGCCCCATACGATGTTATCCCTGATGGTGCCTCTTTGCAGCCACGGTGACTGGGTTACGTAACCAAATCCAGTCGTCAGTTCCTGGACGCACACCTCGCCATCGATGCACTGCAGATTGGCCACTATAGCAGATAAAAAACTGCTTTTGCCACCTCCCACAGGACCCTCGATGCACACGAGCTGGCCCGCCTTGATATCCACATTTATGTCTTTCAAGCGGAACGCGGTCGGGGATGTGTTCTCCTCGCTTTCGTGACAGAAACTAGCGCATTTCATTTGCAGCACACTGGCCTTTGGGGCATCCAAAGGAGCGTCTTCTGGTCCAGATCCACCACTTCCTCTAATTATAGGATTGTAGTAGGAGGAGTAATCCAAGTTGGGCACATCCATCAGTTGCTGCACTCTTTTAATGGAAACCCAGGCTTCAATTAAACCATTGAGCACCCATGGAAAGGCATTCAACGGTCCAATAAGCATATAAAGCAAGGCCACGCTGGTGTAGGTAGTAGATGCTATAAGCTGGTTTCCCATTAGCACGGATACTCCAAAGGTGAGCAGGCACATAAGCACTGGAGTCGTGGCCCAGAAGTAGACACACATGGCATCCAGGTACTTCCTCTTCGACAAGAATCGCAGCTCCTCCTGGCGAAGTCCTCGAATCTTGGTGATGAATATATCCTCCCAAGCATTGATTTTGACCTGCTTGGCTCCCTGCATTGTTTCCGTGGTGGCAGACAGCCTGGCATCTTTGGCGGTCATCAAACCACTTGAATATATGCCAATTCGTTTGGCTAGCCATCTATTAATTGGAATCAGCAGAGCGGCAAATGCTACGCCCGCAAGAAAAGCTGCGCCCAGTTGAAGATACAGCAGGTACAATGTGGTGAACAGCTTAAAGGGAATGCTCCAAAAGAAGTGGAAACTAATGCAAGAGTTTACTATCCTATCCGTGTCCGTTGACATGAGATTTAGCATGTCTGGTTTGGATTCCTTCAAACCCCTCGCCTCCAACGCTTTTCTGTATATGGAGTTGATAACTCCCACTCGCATTTTCATGGAAACCATGGCCATGCGCCAGTCAAAGTGGGTGGCACACACAGCCGACAGCAATGTGCTGCCAAATAGACCCAGGGCATAGTAATACACCTGATTGGGGTCCGTATGATCCTGCCTGAGAAGTCCTCCGAGCAGTAAGGGACCTGCAAAGCCACTCAAATCGGCTATCAATCTTAGGATTCCTATGAGATAAAACTCCACGCCGAAGCATCTGTGCAGGGCTCTCCACAAACTCTGGGATTGCGACAGAGCTAGGTGCAACCTTTCACTCAGTCGCGTGATATTCAGGGCATCGGGTAGATCAAACAGATCCTCAATTTTCCTCAGCTTGCCAGCCACTCCTTTTGCGATAAGGGGCTGAACCCAATGGAAGAGGAAGCGAGATCCCAAGTTGGCTTCATCCTGGGCATGACCCAAGTGGCCCTCGTTCAGATCGAACTGGAAGTATGTATATCTCTGGGCTAGCAGAGCCTCATCCTCTCTGGCCGAGGATCTTCCTCTGGGCAAGCTGGTGTATACAGCACTTCCTTTGGGTATCAAGGTGGCTCCAAACAGGAGGTCACACAGCAATGTGGCCAGGCTCCAGGGCCACCAGTCGAAGTGGCGACTTGTTCGCAGCCACACCGCATCCAGCACCACCACTGTGAGCCAGACCACATTGATTAGCAGCGATCCCCGGTGACTAAGCTCTCCATATTGACGGGCTGTCAATAGGAAACCTGTGGGTGGCGAAGAAAAGGGGAAAGCTGATTAAAGAAGGGGTCGTAAATGATTGCTTTAGGGTTATCTTTTTATGGCAAATTATTAGGTTTACTTAATGAAGAATTTATTTTTTCCTTAAGAAATCACATAAGGTTTGGTTAAATAGACAACTGTGAACAAGTTTTTATTTGTTTAGTTAAATAAAGAAACCAAGGAAAGCAAATATTGTTACTTAAGTTCTTTTTTCTCTGTTTCTGAACTCAATTGTGTAAAACTATAACTGTTAATACTGTTTTTTAATGCAATTAAATTTTGTTATTCAAGAACGGATAATATTTATGATAGGATGTATTTGAGAAATATTAAAGTCTTATTGGTTTATACAATTGGATAGATAGCTAATATATAAAAAATAATAAAAACCAATCTAAACAGATGAAAACAAAATGCTGCTATCCAGAATACATGCTATAATATATATAGTATCTATACATTTTACTATATTATTATAAAACTGCAATCGGAGCAAGGAAAACCCGGAACGTGCCCAGGCATACGGGCATAGGTACTTAAGGTAATGAATCCACGTACATATGTAAACCCCGGAGAAATGGAAACCGCACACTCACCGCTGTGAACCACCCACATAATGCACTCGGCACTAACCACCAGCAGATCGACCGCGAACAGTTCAACGCCCTGGTGGTGGAAGGCAAACACCTTGGCCACGGGCAGCAGGGCCAGAACAATGGCCAGGAAGGCCCGGAGCCACAACATCCGCAGCTGCAATCCATTCCGGATGACGGGACGCGACTGATTGCCGAAATTGTAGGCGGATATGGCGGCGAAGATAGTGTAGATGGGCAGCTGGAGCAGGATCTTCTGGAAGCAGGGCAGCAGATCGTTGGTCTCGTTGGCGAACGGCCTCAGTCCCGTGGGACAGAACTGCGTCCAGTTCCAGGCAAAGTCGCCCCAATCAATAGACGACATCTTGATCTATTTCCACTGGACTGACGGGGGGATTCCTCGTTCTTCCGCTTAGTTAGTCATCGCTGGCTGCACATTTGCACCACTGAACCACAGAGTGGCGTTAAACAAAGCGATAAACACAACAATTCGACTTCAGATAAAGTTCGTAATGAAAATACAGCCGCTATGTGGAGCCGCAGGGTTGCCAGCTTTCAAAACGATGATGGAAGTTGTTGGAATGTGTTCCCGTTTTCATTTTCTCTCGAAATTTAAAAAATATAGATATTAATGTTCTGTGTTTTAAAACAGTTGTTGTTTAATGCTCAATAAAATATAAAACATTTTTTTAATTTTAGTGCACAATTTGTATCCTTACTTATTTTATTTTTGAGCAGGAATAATGTAAAGCCCCCTATTTGATATTAATTTCTAAATTTATATATATTTTTCCAGTAAATAATATTTACTAAATTAACAGTTATTAAATACACAACTCCACTTTTAAAAATAGACAGGTTTTGAACTCTCCAAAATGTTTCGTGAAACGGGAATTGCCCTGCCATTTCGCTGAGAATGTCATTTACGCCCTAGCAAGAAGAAGCATTTGTTTACATTTTATTTCACACTTTTGTGCAATTTGCGTAAACAATTATGACGACTGGAAACGACGCTGAGGGGGATGAGGAGAACCAGGGCAACGCAAGCAGCTTTCCAAGACCACAACTTCCCCCGGAGCTAATGGACATCTTCAAATCGCTGGCCGAAAACTATAACATAGTCTTCAAGTCCCAGCAAATTGATGACCCGGAAATTCCTCTCGAGGAAAAACAAGAAATCGCACGAGATGTCTTCGAAAAGAACCGCGAGAACTTCCTCATTCGATTTGGAGCCCACCTAAATGTCAGACAATTGGGCTCCTTCCAGGATCTGGCCGTCAAGGAACCCATCAAACCCGATGAGAATCTGGAGGAGATGTGCCTGCTGCTGGAGGATTTCCGTAGGAAACTTAGCACTCGTTCAGTTTGCATTAAGAATCGAAGATACCACGCCATGCAGCAGCTCCTGGACAAGGGTGAATACTTCAGCGAGCACGAGATGATGCAAAGAGCTCCGGATCTCTACCAGGAACTGGTGGGTCAATACCTAACGGAGGCGGAAAAGAAAGCCCGGGATAGCTACGATGTCAGGAACACCAGTTTCTCGGGAATTCTAATGCACACGCTGGAAAAGAAGCAAAGGGATGAATTGCTAGAAGAAACTCAGCAGGAAAAGGAGGAGCAAGTAGAGGTCAGGAGTGAATATGTCCCTCCCGCAGACTTTGAAGTCCCAGTAGCCTGCCGAAAGCAATGGGGTGGCTTTGAGGACGATGAACCCGTTGCCTGCTCAACAAGTCGAAATGCTGAAGCTCGAGTTCCCGCCAACATAACAAAGATCTCCACACCGGAATACTATAATCCTGGAGAGCGGGAATTACTACGCAACGAGTTCTTGAGCGTAATGAAGGAACGCTTTCTGAGTGGGGAGGATAAGGATTTTGATTACACAGCCGTGGATGATAACACTTTGCTGGACGATCTGAAGCAAATTGAACAGGATGAGGAAGATGCCTATTTTGAAGACAGCGATGATGAAGAGGAACTAAAGGAGCACCCTGCCGAGGAGAAGGAGGCCTCCAGCGAGGATGAGCTGGACATCTACATGAGGCATCTAAGCAATCACCACAGTTTGCAGCATTAGATGATAAAAATCAATATCTGTAGAGGAAAACCTTTAAAAGGATACTCAACACTCTGCAGCAATAGTCTTTAATCTTAATCTTATTCTTAGCCTTAACAAATTTTGATCTTAGACACTAGAATACATGCAGTTGTTGAGTAAAAATCTGGTTATCTTGGCCTGCCACGACCGCGTGGAAAACCGCGTCCCCTTCCCCTCAATACCTTGCTATTCGGCGGAGGACTCTTGGGCCTAAGGAGCTCAATTCTACTGGTGCAGCCCGTGGCCGGAGCCTCGGCAAAGTACGTTTGATACAGCTCGGAGTTGAAGTTCGAGTTTGTCAGTTCCGGACCCACAGTTAACCAACCTGGTCGGATGCTCGAATCCCTGCCAAATAGATGCAAACGTCGTCGACCCAAGCAGAAGTGCTCGATGATGTGAAAGATCTCGATGGGCTTCTCAAAGCTGCCAAACTCCTCTTCCTCCGAGATGATCAAATCAATGTCCACATTGGCATGGATGAAATCACCATCGGTGGATCGGCGAACAGTTCCCTTGATGCCCATCAGGCAGTGCTCTTTGGTGCGCTGGAAGACGGCTTTCGGCTCCAGCTGCTTGGAGTGACCGGGCTTGTTGATATTCGTGCGTATCCAGCAGATGTCCTCGCATCTGCGGAATCCCCACTTCTTCAGGCAGTTGCGGCCCATGTCCAGGCCCTCCGAGGAGCCGCACCAGAGGAATACAAACGAGCGGTGAGCCGCAATCTCGCCCACATCCAAATCTGGCAGAAAAAAAAGGTTACTAGTTAATACACAAGAGAATTAGCCTGTCTACTCACTAAGTATATCATCCCAGTTCCAGAAGACACGAGGTGCTCCACCCACAGTGGCTACAGAGGGAGCTGCCCTGGCGTATTCCTCCAGCGGCGGCTCAATCAGTATCACATCAAACTTGGCGCCCAGGGTCTTGACATCCAGCGATTTGAGGTCAGCCTTTAAGTACATGGGAGCAGATGCCGTGTCCTGGATGAGTTTGTCCTTTAGTTTGATCAGTTCCCTCAGTTTAGGATACTCCTCGAAGCGGTCAGCTAGTCCGACATCGCGGATGAAGTTCTGGGGACGCTGCCCGGTGTCCACAAAGTGCTGGCAGTAGTCATTGTGCGGATTGGAAGACTGGGTTCCCTTGAGGAAAGTGGAGGAGTCCCTGTAGATGATTTCATTGGGCGCCTTCTTGGAGGAAGAGGCTCCGCCATCCTCCTCCTCGCGCTGCCCGCCGGGATTCAGCTGGCGACTGCTGTTGATGTCCTCGGCATTGCCCAGGACCTTCTTCAAATCATCTACGCTTGACAAACCCAGCTAAGTTGGGGGAATACATAATTTATGAGTTTTAATACGACGCCGATTGATTTTGGAGTTTGTTCATAAAAAACTTACAGTTTGCGCCAGAAGCAAACGCCGCTTGCGGGATCGCTCCTGGGAACTCTTTAGGACATCGCTCATACTAGTAAATGCAGTAAAAACGTAGTAAAATGCTTTTAAAAAACACAATTCTAAGAAAAAAGACAACAAAACTAGCCGTCTAGTGACGGGAAACTAGTCATAGCGGTATCGATAACTGTATAACACGGTATCGATAAGAACCTCTTTAATTCGAAATATTTGGGCAATTACTGATTAACAACTGAGGCTTAAAATATGAGTTGTTTTAAATAATTATAAACTTAACAAAAATGATTACTAATAATTTAAACAACATTGGTCTTTTGAAAGTAAAAATGTATTGTATTGATAGACATATATCGATATATAGAATTTACCCATACCTAGTCAATCGAAGTGGCCATTCACAGTGAACGACAGCAGGTGCCGCTTGCCATTCACAATCAGCTGCATGCGCCGGAAGAAATATTTTGGACTAAACGTTTTTTCTGTAATTATTGCGTTAAAATAGTGAAACTGTTAATCCAATCGCCTGCAGGATGAGGCTGCTGCACAAGACGCTGCTCAGCGGGCTGCTGGTGGTGGCGGTACTCGCGATTTACACGGCCGCTCAGTCGAAATCTAAGGTTTGTTTTACTGGCCACGTCACTTTTCCAGCTCCACATCCCCGGATTCCAGAATGCCGGCTAGAATAGATTAAGATAAAACCAACATGTTATTAATGGGTATCAAATCGCTTTCAGTCGGCACTCTCGCTGTCGGAGAAAGTACAAAATCTGGTGGAGATGAACGCGAAGAAGCCGCTGCTCCGCTTCAATGGACCCAAGTTCCGGGAGTACGTGAAGAATGCCCCCCGGAATTACTCGATGATCGTAATGCTCACTGCCTTGGCTCCCTCACGGCAATGTCAGATCTGCCGGCACGCCCACGATGAGTTCGCCATCGTGGCCAACTCGTACCGCTTCTCGTCCACTTACTCCAACAAACTTTTCTTCGCCATGGTGGATTTCGATGATGGCTCCGAGGTTTTCCAGCTTCTGCGCCTGAACACCGCCCCCGTGTTCATGCATTTCCCGGCCAAGGGCAAGCCAAAGGGCGCCGACACCATGGACATCCATCGCGTCGGCTTTGCCGCCGATTCCATTGCGAAATTCGTGGCCGAGCGTACGGACATCACCATCCGCATCTTCCGTCCGCCCAACTATTCGGGCACCGTGGCCATGATCACACTGGTGGCCCTGGTTGGCAGCTTCCTCTACATCCGGCGCAACAACCTGGAGTTCTTGTACAATAAGAACCTGTGGGGAGCCATCGCAGTGTTCTTCTGCTTCGCCATGATCTCGGGCCAGATGTGGAACCACATCCGTGGACCGCCGCTGGTGCACAAGTCCCAGAACGGCGGCGTGGCCTACATCCACGGCTCCTCGCAGGGCCAGCTGGTGGTGGAGACCTACATCGTCATGTTCCTGAGTGAGTGGGGGGTTTATTCTAGCCATAAGAAGCTTTTCAGTTACCCTATGTTACTGCAATACAACATTAGAAACAGTCAAAAATTATGACTCGAAGCACAAAATTGCCACATGTTCAAGATTAACATCGATCAAATTACCTCTAGATATTACATTTTTCCGCTTCTTACCACTATGCACAATTTTGAAAGATTAAATAATTAGAATGCTAATTTTCAATAACTGGTGCTAATACTATTTTACACATTTCACCTGGAATACATTTTAGCCCTTAATTAACTTAATTGACACATCAACCTTCCATTTCAGATGCCATGATTGTGCTGGGCATGATTCTGCTGATCGAATCGGGAACTCCAAAGAGCCACAACAAGAACAGGATAATGGCGATGACTGGTTTAGTGCTCCTCACCGTCTTCTTTTCCTTCCTGCTGTCCGTTTTTCGGTCGAAGGCGCAGGGTTATCCCTATAGGTGAGTCAATATAACAGCCAAAACCAATGCATCGCTTACTTAACTTGTTTTCCCTCCTTTCCCTCACAGTTTCTTGTTCAAATAGAATCGACTGCAGTCCTGTTCCAGTTCAAGTTCACCCCTGTATCGTTTTGTAGTTAAAATCACCAGCGAGCACATATTTTCTGTGCGTGTAAAACGACTTTAATAAATTCCACTACTAAATTATTTGTACAAAAATGCGAATTATTTCCAGTCTTCGGACTCAGAGCAGGAACGGAATGATGGCACGTCGGTTCTTCGGGTACTCCCTGAATGTCTCGCGGTACCACTTGTGGGTGAGCAGGGCATTAATCGTTTGATTGCTGGCCACCCAGAGGAAGATGAGCCGCCAAATTCTCACGGGCATGTAGAGATCGGCAATGCAGAAGTACATGACCACCTCGAGGAACATGTGTGGCGAGGAGAGCAGGTTGAACAGTCCTCCCTTGGGCAGTAAATGCTTCTCTGTACGAACATTTCCCGTGTGCGGATCCTTCCTCAGGTTCACCAGTATCATGTTGCTGGCATATTGCTGCTGCCAGGCGATGAAGAAGACGACGAGGTAGAGTATTTGTTGGCCAGTCAGCTTGTCCAGGCTAAACTCCATGGGCTTGGAGCCGCGCACAAAGCCAGAGGTGTTCGAAAGTAAAGCTATGATGGCGCCAAAGTAGTGCACATAGCCCACGGCATAGTGGGACAGATTGATCTTGCTCTTTCTGGAGAAGATCTGCACAAAGTTGGTCTCGTAGAAACGCCGGGTGCACTGCAGCGTGAGCATCAGTGTGCCCACACAGGCCGTGGTGGAGTCGATCTCCACCTTCCGGTGACTCCGTCCGCCGCCCATGATGTCCAGGAACCGGAGGACATACTCCGGTGCCTCCTTTTGCTCCCGTACGGTGGAGACAAGCAGATAGAAGCCCAGCCAGCTCCAGAACAGGGCGAAGACATAGAAGTGCTTGAACCAGGACTTGGGGACTTCCAGCCAGGCCACCAGCGGATCCGTTTCGCCCTTGAAACTGTGCTTGCCATACCGGAAGGACTGACGTATGCTGTTCGGCAGGTACTTCTCCACAAAGGTCATCAGGCCGCCAAAAAACACGATCGTGGCGATGAAGGTGCCGAACATCATCTGCAGCAGGTTGATCTTGTACCGGTCGAGGAGGTTTTCGAGGACCTCGAGCAGCCCAATCTCGGGAGGCGCCATTGCGAATAATTCTTGCACAATGCAGCGCGCAAAAACTGTAAAAACTTTCTCCCAAAACCGAAAACTTGCGGAACATTCATGCCAGGGCTGGAGGCAAAGTCGATAGCCCCCGGCGATTCATCGATATGTTGCTTTCTCCAGGATATCGACTTATGTCTACAATTTGTTTGAAATTAGGCGCGAATATTTGAAACATATGATTTGAAATTCATTGCTATTGTGGATTTTCTCTTTAAGAAGACCATTCTACAACTTTCTAAAAAACGATCCTTTATTAAATTGCCTTTACTCCTAAATGGCAAACTAAATTGGCTAGTTTTATGCTTGCATATGTATATAAATTGATAATTACGATATGGTTTGTCTAGTTCGGCAGGTGTGAGTATTTATGCAATTGATATAACGCTCTTCGATATTGCTTATTAAGATTTCATGTGTTCAGATCCGACGTCTTCTGTTTTTTATTCAGCAGTAGAGCACTCGGGGAGATGTTTGTCAAATATCCACTCCATTCCGACCCAAAGTGGCAGTTTGTCCTTTATATGGTGGGGGTTTGGGTCGGGCATAAATGCTGGAGGTTCCGCAGTCCAGCTGGTAAAAGCTGTTGTTAGGACTGTAACATAAAAATAAGTATTTAAAAATTATAATTATTAAAAATTTATGGTTATAACCCACCTCTGAGATCGCATGCTAGTATTGTCCAAAAGGAAATTCGGGTCCTTGAGGCTCTTCAAGGTGGTAATGGGTTGATTTGACTTGCTATCCGAACACTGGACCATCTGAACAGTGGATGACATGGGATAATCCGAGTTTGAAGAGCTGAAAAAACACAGCATTACTTAAAAAGTTTTTAACTAGGCCAGGATAAATAGAAAACAATAATAGATCTATTGGAAAATCACCTCTCTGAACCATCATCCGCCCCAGAATCGCTTGACGCGCTTGGCGCACAGGACTCTTCGCAGATGTGGAAAATGTTGGCAAAGAAAAACTCAGAATGCGGATCGGAACTGAAGAACAAAGAAACAAAAAGTTACAAATAATTAAAAAAAGGATTTAAATAAATTAATTTAGACTCTTCCCAGGCAGGGAACTCACAACTTCTCGTGATGGAAACACAAAACAGCGGATAGCATCCCGATTAAAATGGCGAAAATCATGCCCGGAATGGCGAAGGCAAAGGCGAATTCATCGATGTAATTCCGTTCCGGCACGTCCTCTCGGGAAATGCCCATCCATCGATCCTCTTCCCTTTGATCCTCGGTGACCTGCTGCTCATTCTGCTGCTTGCCGCTGTGGAAGAGGATTTCCGTGGGAGATTCGAGAGATTCCATTCTAAAGGCACACCAATCAAGTTTAAAGCCCACGTTCTCGAAGATTTTCTGGACGGAAGTGCGCTTGTAGGTGCAGGATGGCAATTTATATAAGGGACGCACTTCCTCCTGGAGCTCCTTCAGTCGGGGAGAGAACTGGGCAAAGCTTCCCACATGGACAATGACCCTGTAATCAAATATACATATTTTATTTCTGTAGAAATTTAAAAAACTAAAAAGTGTCTAAAAGTATGCTATAAAATATATATAATGAAAAACGTAGCATACTTTTCGACACCTCTTGAAATAAATTTTAAATCTCAAGATCTACAAAGGTCACCAACTCACCCCTCGCGTTGCTGGGGTCTCAAAGGAAGTCGTCCCCCCATATTCACAGCCGACTCCATGAAGACCACACTCAAGTCCTCTTTACTATTTGGCCACAGATCATTGCGGAATATATTCCGTAGATTCTCCACTCTACCCGGATCCATTAGGTGCACCCAATTAAGGTTGTTTATTTTCATTTGCACCACATTTGGTGTGGGGAACTTGTGGGCCACAAACATGGAGACCACAACATGTCGGGTTTCGTAATTCTGACGGTTCAGGGCCACCACATCCAGACTGAGATCCTTTCCAGCCGCCGATTCCGGTGGAGTTCCGTAGAGGAAGCCGGCATGGTATTCATGGCTATACATATATCTCATCCAACTGGGCAAATCGGGGTAGCTCTTCAAGGAGGGTCGGTAGCGAAATTGCTGGCTGATGACCTGGTGTGTCCAATTGAAGAGTTGCGGTTCGATTTTATACGTGAACAGCTCCCCCACATTTGCCTGAAGTTTTATTCCCTCCACTCCAGTGCAGATTAAAGCTAATACGAACACTAACAAGTTTAAAAACTTCATTTTTTGATTTTATCTATCGTTAATTCACAAGCACATTTTAATTGACTATAAACAAATTGTTAATCTGTCCAGATGAAAAATTCCTATGGTGTGTATCTGAATGGGAGAGGGACTATATTCTCAACATTTGTTGTTTTCATTTTTAAAGAGAGCGCCTGCGCATTTCGTTTTTGAAAATAAGACAGCGGTGACCAAGGTCAGTTATGAAATATTTAACAAGTTTTTAAAAATTGAAACCTTTTTTATTTCACTTATTAAAAAATTTGAAAAACGTTTTTTAAATATTTTTAAAAATATATTTTTTTGTTCATATTGATCTTTTAAAGTTTTTTGGTAGTACTTCAATTTGTTCTTTGATCTTAAGTGGTATTTAAAGCATGCTTCCTGCAGTTTCATTTTTAAAAAGCGGTTTTCGAAAATAAAGGCAGTTACTTTTAAAAAAGTCCTATCATTTTCCACTTCGATAACCAACCTATCGAAACCTCCAGTCAGTGTGAACGAGTCACGGGTTCTGGAGAAGTGCCATCCATAAAAGAACTCGACAACCCTAATCAGCTCCCTAGCAAATTCGGTATACAATTCTTGGAAAATAATACGTGGCTCCGTTTATCTCGCACAAATTGGAGAAGTAATGTCTGCTGACAGGTAGCAGTTGCACCTGTTCAAACACACTAGCCATTAAAATAGCCCTACGATGTGGAACTGTCTGTGCCAGCTGTTTTTCTATCTGCTCTCGGCGGTTGTAGTTGCAGCCCTATCGGTAAGAACTTATAAACACCCTCATATCACTAGCATACTATTGATAACTCACTCCTCAGGTCGTGGCAGTGGTGCTCTACAAAACGAAGCCCTATCCCAACATCAAAAGGCACAAGGATGAGGAGACCTTCCTGGACCCGCACAGCATCAAAACAGTGACCTTCCCCAGCCTCGAGGATTCGCCAAGTTTGGAGCTCAGTGTCATTGTGCCAGCCTATAATGAGGAGCAGCGGTGTACGTTGGCATTTATGATGAATCACATACCACTTTTTATCTATGCCCTTATATGGTCGACTGTCTACGTTCCAACTTCTCTAATGAAACTTCATATTTCAACACAATAGAATTTTAAGCAATCTTAAGAGTTCTATAGAAGTGTAGCTGTTGCAACCTGTTTATTATTGATTAAGCATCGCTAATGACCATATGATTGTATATTTCTAGTACCTGCCATGCTGGACGAGTGTCTGGCCTTCCTGGAGCAGAGATCCGGAGGCAATCCCAGCTTTACGTACGAGGTGATCGTGGTGAGCGACGGCAGCCAAGATGCCACAGTCTCCGTGGGTCTGGGCTACTCGAAAAAGCACGGAGCGGAGAAGGTTCGCGTCCTGGAACTGATTGAAAATCGGGGAAAAGGAGGAGCCGTTCGCATGGGCATGCTGAGTGCACGGGGGCGTAATCTGCTCTTCGCGGATGCAGATGGAGCCACCAAATTCGCCGACTATGATAAACTGGAGGTGGCTCTAAAGCAACTATCTTCGGAATGGCAAGACGATGGCATTGCCATAGGATCGAGGGCACACCTGGAAGACGATGCGATTGCCACCAGGAGTTTCTTCAGGTGGGATGACACATATATTTGCTCCGAGCTATTGTGATCAATATTTGTTGTCCCCTAGAACTGTTTTGATGCATGGCTTCCATTTCCTCGTTTGGCTCTTTGCCGTGCGCTCCATTCGCGATACCCAGTGTGGCTTTAAGTTGTTCACCCGAACTACGGCCAGAAAACTCTTCACAAGTCTCCATGTGGAACGATGGGCTTTTGATGTGGAGCTCCTGTATCTAGCCGAAAAATTGAAGCTGCCCATGCAGGAGGTGGCCGTTCGCTGGACGGAGATCGATGGCTCGAAACTGACACCCTTTTGGTCGTGGCTGCAGATGGGCAGGGATTTGATCATGATCTGGCTGCGTTATCTGGTCGGCGCCTGGCGCATTGCCTCTATCCAAAAGAAGGAGCAGTGAAATTGAGGAGGAGGGGATCTCATTCCCAGTACTAACAAGCATTTTGTGTCGAAACTTTTTCGCTGTCGTGCATTACCAAAACTCTTTTTAACCCTAAACTCTATTTTTGTAGGCCTGATAAAGTGTAAAGAATACTAACTAGTTAAGTACTTAAGTACAGTATTTTTTTCAAATAAAAAAAGAAGCGTCGAATAAAGTTGCACATCAATTGTTCTCGAAGAATGTTAAAAAGATATTTTGGATATTCTTCAAATAGTGGTAGATTTTAGGTATCTTCAGCCTTTTGGGAGTTTACAATTGATCGTATAGACTAACTTTTTAAAAGAATTACTAGAAATAAATTTAAAAATGTTTTTAAATCTATTAAATATGTAACAACAAAAGAAAACATTCTGGGCTTCCACTTTTAAAATAAATAAAAAATATATCTTCACTTGTATTTTTTCCTTGTGAAAATTAAAAGCTTTTAACTCTAAAGATATGATATTCTATGGATTAAAAAAAATGAGGCGGAAAATTATGTGTATTTGGTATTTTTTAGGCATGCTTATTATATAGAAACATTTACGAAGCTATGGGCATCGACATTAAATAAAATACAATATTTTCCTAATAATGATATAAAGTTTGTAACTCAACGTTTTCTAAAATAAAACCGATTTATATATCTTTGATCTTCTATTAAGGAAGCAAATTGGGCGGGAAATCAATTGAATTTGGTATTTTTTCAGAATGTTTTAACTACACCTTATTGGAAGTGTGGTATTTTCCATACTTCGGAATACGGTACACACGAAGTTGCGGCGGCGCGTTTTAGTTGGATTCTTCCAAAATCGTTATTTTTTAATAACAGTTAAGCATT